CGTTTAAATGTTCTGGAAATCTCACCCTTCTTCCAGAACGCGTCGTTTTAAGTTTATTTTCGGATACTGTCGAAGTATCTTCGTGTGCGTTGGTTGTCGGATGAGGTATTATTAGTGTCTGAGTCGTGTCGTTCGATTGTACCGAAGGAAAATCGACGTGGATAGGATTTCCTTCTAAATACGCTGCTTTTAAGCGATCGATGCTGATGCTATCGTTGGTTCCGTTCTTATCGACTATATAGTACTTAGATTCACGTTGAAGAACTTTGAAGGGTCCTTCGTATGCTGATTCGAATGGTCGTCGATGCGAGTCTCGACGAATGAAAACGTGTGTACTATATGGTAAGTCAGGTTGAACGAAAACATCAGTTGATTGAGGTCGAGTGGAAGCAGGTTTAACTGAACGCATTGCGTTTGTAAGCCTGTTCGTGTAGGAGGTTAGATCCATGTTCATCGAAGAGCACGAAGGATCCACGAATTCTCCTGGAAGTCGAAGTGTCGTTCCATAAACGAGTTGAGCCGCAGTGTATCCAATGTCAGCTTTCACTGCATTGCGGATACCTAGTAAGACGAGTGGAAGAGCGTCGGTCCATTGTGAAACGTTTGCAGCTGATAGCGAAGCTTTCAGTTGTCGGTGAAAACGTTCTACCAACCCGTTTGCTTGGGGATGGTAGGCGGTCGTTCGGAAGCGAGTGATTCCTAAAAGTGTGGTCAGACGACGGAAAAGATCAGATTCAAACTGACGTCCGCGGTCTGTAGTGATGGTTGAAGGGCAACCGAAGTTTGCTACCCATCGTTCGACGAATGTGCGGGCCACTGTTTCAGCAGTGCTGTCCTTGATAGGTACTGCTTCTGGCCATCGAGTGAAACGGTCTACGCAGGTTAAGAGATAAGAGTATCCATTTGAATCTGGTAAAGGTCCTACCAAATCCAGATGAACATGGTCGAAACGAGCATCGGGAGTTTTAAACGAGCCTAAGGGACATTTATTGTGTCTGATAACCTTAGATTTTTGGCAGCTTACACAGGAGCGTGCCCACTCCCTCACGTCTTTATTCATGCCAGGCCAGCAAAATCGTTCTGCTATAAGCTTGATGGTTGCACGAACACCTGGATGAGAAAGTTTGTGCAATGTGTTGAAGACATTGCGTCGATAATGTTTCGGCACGATTGGGCGATCCCTACCTGTAGATGTGTCACAAAGTAAGGTTTCCTTACCTGTTCCCATCTGTTTGATGCGTAGTTTAAGTGTTGTGGACGATAACTCGTGCTGAAGATCACTGTCTTCTTTTTGAAGCTCGGCGAGTTTAAGAAGGTCGATTCCTTGGAAACTGTTCAAGGAAGTTATACGAGATAAAGCGTCTGCAACTACATTGTTTGCTCCAGAGATGTGTTGAATATCTGAAGTAAACTGCGAAATGTAGTCCAGTTGTCGAGACTCACGGGGAGAGTACTTGTCAGAAGGAGAGCTTAACGAGAAAGTGAGCGGTTTATGGTCCGTGAAAAGAGTGAATTCACGGCCTTCGATATAGTGTTGGAAATGCCGTACAGCACAATACATAGCTAGGAGTTCCCTACCGAATGTGCTGTACCTCGATTCGGTGTCTAGCAACCTTCTAGAGAAAAATGCCAAGGGTTGCCAGGAGTTGTTAACCCATTGTTGTAAGACTCCTCCGATTGCTGAGTCGGATGCGTCTACTGCGATGCTAATGGGTGCTCGGGTGTCCTGATGTGCGAGCATTGTTGCTTTAGCAATCAGTTCCTTGACTGTGGAGAATGCTTTTCGTGCGGTGTCGTCCAAATTAATGGATTTCGCATTTCCACGAAGTTGGTCGGTCAGAGGTTTCATAAGTGATGCGCATCTGGGTATGAAACGTCTATAGAAACTTACCAGGCCGTTGAACGTGCGTAATTGCTTGACGGTGGTCGGTTCTGGGTAATCCAGAATGGCCGCCACTTTGGTTCTAAGGGGTCGGATACCTTGAGCATCGATAGTGTGTCCCAGAAAGTCTAACGAGTCGGTTCCAAATTGGCATTTCTGAACGTTTACAGTTATGCCATGTTTTTGTAATCGTTCGAAAACAAGGTCCAGATGCTTGAGATGTGTTTCTCTGTCCGGACTTGCGATTAGACAGTCGTCAACATACGCGTGTACGAAGTTGAGACCTCGAAAAACGTCGTCTATGAATCTTTGGAATGTTTGAGCAGCATTCCTTAGACCGAAAGGCATTCGCAAAAATTCATAGAGTCCGAAGGGAGTTATGATAGCCGTTTTCGGTATGTCGTCAGTAGCCATAGGGATTTGGTTATACGCTTTAACCAAGTCGATTTTCGAAAAGACAGTTGTACCTTTCAAGGTAGCTGTCAAATCGTGAATGTGAGGCAACGGGTAACGATCGGGAATGGTTTTCGCGTTCAATCGCCGATAGTCACCAGTTGGACGCCAATCGTTGCTGTCCTTTTTAGGGACCATGTGCAACGGAGATGCATATGGGCTACTTGACGGTCGTATGATTCCTAAGTCCATCATGTGATCGAATTCGTTTTTCGCTAACCTTAGCTTTTCAGGAGCTAGTCGTCGTGCTTTAGAGAAAACAGGTGGTCCTGTAGTCGTGATGTGATGTGTAACATTGCTGGTTACACACGGTAGTTTCGGTTGAGTTTGTTGTATCCCAGGGTACTTATCGAGTAGTGGTTGATAGAGTGGGTCTATCATATGTTTAACTGTGACTGGGGATACTCTACAACCAGTAAAAGAAGTTACGCAAACGGACAAATTAGTGTTTCCGTCTACTAGCCTCCGTTTGCGAGTGTCGATGATCAGATTGTGGTGTTGTAGAAGGTCCATACCAATGATTGGCATAGAAACATCTGCAACGACGAAAATCCAGTGGATGGGTTTGCGTAAACCCACGTTAAGGTAAACGTACCTTTTGCCATACGTAGCGATCGGTTTTCCGTTTGCCGCCTGTAAGTTTAGGGTCGATTCGTGAAGTCGGTCGTTAGGATTTGCTGGGAGAACGCTAACTTCTGCGCCAGTGTCGACGAGGTAGCGAACTCTCGTTGTCACATCTGTGACGAATAACAGACGGCTTTGTTCGCCGGCTACGGTTGCCGTTAACGCGTGCCGGCTTGGAAGTTTCCCGAACGAATCAGTCGGTTTCGTGTTGGGAAAATTGCAGGGTTTTCTGCAATTTCTGGAAAACTTTCCATACTGGTTATGATACCAGCACCAGTCGGGGTTATCTGTCTCTCGTGGTCTAGAGACAGATCGCTTACGAGAAATGCTTCTACGTGGTGTGCGCGATCTCTTACGGTCGGTACGAAGACTAAGATAACGCGTGAGTGTGTGACATAAGTCGGTTATGTCATTCTGAGTCGTGTGAGGCTTTTCTTTGACTGAAAATACCTCGGTAGTAGAAGGTTTCGTAATTTCTAGAATGCGGTCGGCAGATACAGCTAGTTCGTCTAAGGCGTTGTTCTGGAACGAGACCAGAACTGCTTGCACCTGTTGGGGAAGTTTTGACAAGAAGAGTTGTTTGAATAGACCTTCGTCGAAAGTTCTTGGGCCTATAACCTCTCTCATCCGTTGCAACATGTCCGTCGCAGAACCGTGTTGCAGGTCGATATTGTTGAAGAGTTGATCTAACCTTTGTCGATCGGTTAGGTCTCCTCGTTTAAGAATCGAGCGTTTTAAGATTTCGTAAGGATCGGAAACATCACTAGTAAACATACTAGGTGTTACGTACCTGTTGAATTCCCGCGGCAGTGCCTTGACTACTGCGAGGAATTGTGCACGTGTGTCGATCACGCCGTGCTCGGAAAAGTCGGCTTCTGCGTAGCAAAACCAGGCTTCGATGTTGTCGGGCCAGAAAGGCATCAGTTGAAACGAAGGTGGGGACAAGGTCTTAAGCTTGAGTACTTTAGGTGTCTGTTCAGTCATGATGAAATATGAAGTACGATAATGAACGAGGGGAAAATATATATATATATCCAAGAAAAACACGAAAAAAAATCACAATGTTTAAAAAAAATAAAAAATAAGGCAATGATATATAAAAATCCCAAAAAGGAACAGACTCACAGTTGCAATAAGGTGTACCAGATCACGACGGTCTCACCAATGATGATGTCACAGGTATTCAGTGTTTCACAACGCTTCTACCAGTAACACCTTCTAATATGTTTCGTTCCCACCAAGAGAAATCAAAAGACAGAGTCGAGGAGATCGGAAGAGTATATTTGGCGATGACCAATATACCGGGATTCTCTGATCTAATCTGGCTAGCGATTGTGGTTGATGTTGAGCACGGCGTTACTACACGTGATCTGGTGCGGATGCCTGACCGAGCGCCTTCAGCTAGATGAGTCCACTAAAACATATGGTCAGCATCCAATGTCGAAAACTTACAGAGCTATTTATTTTAGGGATTTATTTACCGCTACAATGACATTACTGAACGGTCGTATTAGTAAGAAAAGATTACAGTAACACAAAGATGCTCCATCGCTGCATGGGCCGAGCCATGACATGCAGCTGACTGATGAACGTTGATTTATCCTAACCACGGCGAGGCTCAATAAACTATTCGACACTCAGTGGTCTACCTGCCAGTTCACTGGTCGACGGGTCAGTGACAATCTACTGGTCCAACATAACACATCATACATAAAATATTGACATTTTACTTCGGGTGCTTGGTTTCACTACTCGAACTTTTACGAAGCTGCATTATATCACACTGGAAAAACTATTTCAAAAAAGTGCTGATGCACCTCAGTGAGTAGCATCTTGTGACGTAAAAACTTACTCAAATAAGGAGTATTGTGCTCTGTTTCAAGAACTGTTGTTTTCGCTTATTTTTGTCGACGATCTACAGAATCTTGCTGGGCAAAGTCATCTGTTCTGTTCACGACTATTCGTTTTTCTTATAATGTTCCATTCGTATAGCAACGTTCCAAATTCTATCGTTTGACATTTTGAAATTCAAGGTCTTGATATGACCAGTCCATGTATAAAGAATAGTCAAAACAGAGAGAGTGATTTTGACAGAAGGTTAAGAGCAAAAGAAGAGAACAAGAGACATATTCTATTTAAAAATGAAAACTTTATTGAAGAACGGGAAAAATTGGGATTTCCACCAAAGTATCCAACATTGACGACATTAGAAGATTCCACAAATATATCCAATCTTGCATCAGCGTCTTCAATCAACCGACTTGAAGAGAAAAGGGGTATTGATAGACGGAAGCCTCAAAATATGTCTCCGGGGGTAGTTTGTAATGCTTATGCAAAAATGTTTTATTACAAGGACATTAATGCATTCAGAGAAGGTTCAAACATGGCACCTCCGGAGACCTTGAATAAACCATTACCAATGCATGATAAATTCATTAGTGACCAAGTAATTCGGGGAAGGTTTGCCGGTAAAATTGTGGTTTTTGACGCTCTGTAATCTCTTAAGCAAGCCTAAAAAGTGAGAACTATCAGTCCAAAAAGCTCTTAAGGACTTCAATATTTCCACAACTTGTACGTTTTTCATAGGTCACGCTTTCTTATTCTTCAAAACATTTGGCAGGATATGTTAAATACCAGACGTTTAACTGGAGATGACAAAATTGCACAAAATTACCTGTATACATCAAGTTATGAAGCGTAATTTCATTTTTAGTACATTGTATTACGTTCATATCAGAGCATATGGAAACCGATCGAAGTTTTATGGAAATACGTGCCGACGTTTATACCCGATAAAAAGTTCCGAGGCTGTTGCAGACCCAATTAGAGGTCTTTTGGACAGTGATTCATATTACCCTTCTACCAAGTCATGGATGGTAAGTTCTTTTCATCTGTGGTACTAATCTCTAGTGAAGGGCATCCTATTATTTCGAATATGTAGTCACATTCAAAAACCAACTAACTAGATCATCGCCTACGCCTTTGGAGATTGAGCGAATCAACCAACCATAATTTTTCAATAATGCCCTGTAGTTTAAATGTTATTATTAGTGGTTACGTTCAAATTGAGTCGCGATCAACTAATTTAGTGATTAAGACTGTTTTCATGGTTCATTGACACTACAATATGTCTTGAAATAATGTCTTTAGGCAAGCTTCATGGACATGCAATCAACAATAGGGCTTCAGTGTTCATAGTATGTCATTTGTAGACACCACAAAACAAGACTGTGTTACGGCCGTGATATCATGTATTTTCTAATTTTCCTCGGAATGTATTGTTTTGAGCATCTTGAATGATGCTCATCATATTTGTCACTACAGGTCAGTTTTTTTATGTATTCCACCAAAATCTTATGGTCGTTTTTACAGAGTACTGGGATAAGCTGAGAAACTATTGGTTACCGAAAATGATTAACATCTGCTTTGTCATGCTTCCAAATTCAGAGTTGCATGAAACATCATACTAGTTGTTAAATGACTTACTTCAATACTCATTATCGTCACTTGAGTTGTGGTTCGTTTATATGGCTGGTATGACTGATTTAGATGCTAAAGCTACAGTCATTTTTAGACTGGTTTCTTAATATTATAATTTAGAGGTCTGCTCTCGACTATAAGTTCATACATGTGCTTGATTTTCCCCTAGTTTGTTGGTCGAGTTAATATGAAGGAAATTCCTATATATTTGTACTCAAGTGTGGCATCATGATCGGATTCTTTGAAACAGTGTATCCATTTGAACCGAAACATGTGCTTAGTCATTGTTAGTCGATAAAATACTCCGCTTACTGATTTAAGGTTGTGTGTCAGATTTATTCTCTCCTTTAGGAAGAGCAAGAACAAGAATGTGAGCGTGATGACATAAATTAATTTTATTTCGTTAGATTATCTATTGTCTCTGATATAACTGTGAAACTCCTGAACCCCAAATAGGCGTTGTTGGGTTTGGATTCGTACTTCAGATGTGGTAGGTTAAATAGTTAAACTGTTGAAGGTGCGATCAAATCACAAGCATCCAAGTTTTGAAATCGTGAAAAATCATAACCTAATCTGATAATTTCATCACGTAAGAATAATTGCTCCAGCAATTTAAATGATTGATAAGGGATATAACATCCTACTTCGACTGACACTGTTACAAAACAGCCCCTGTAAGCAGCGTTGTCTACATTTTAAATAACTTCTAAAATTGATTACTTGTGCATGCAAAGTGAGTATGTTTTGCCGCAGGAGCGAGAAAATAAAAACAATAGAGAAAGGTCCATCTTACATCCAAAATTTAAATTAAAAAACAATACCTCAGTACACTTACATTCAAAAATTTACTTTGCATTAATTAATGGATAAAGTGAAATGGTTATAGCTTAAACTAATATCAAGCTGAGTAAACTCAACGTTAAATTATTTCCATAATCTCACAGTTGATTCCTTCATAATGCTAATCTAAAATGCAACTCGTTTGTTTAAAGTAGTTTAACCATAATAAACCAGGCACTTACCGACTGATTTAATCTCATAATATGTAGCTCTGAATATCTTTTATCTGTTTTACATAATATTTATTCGTATATGATCAAGGGATATCATTAAAATTTTTAAACTCTGAATGATATTACAAAATGACAGTTGCAATTAACAAATCGATAATATTGCAATATGAACAAATATTGCCTCAGACAACTTATAGGTTTCCAGTATAGTATAGGCAAAGATGATTAGTGGCTGTTAGTGGAATCAAGGACGCGCGTTCCGTCCTACTTGGGACTCGTCAGCTGGGTGTACTGGCATCTCAAATTTGGTGTTAATTCTGGGACTCGAACCCGGCACCGTTCGTTTCAAACTCCAGCGCGTTATCCACTTAGCTACTAAGTCGTGTTAGCCACCTGCTTGTACAATGGGGTGAAGTTATATTCGCTTGTTATTGTTTACTTGTATCTTCTCATTGTTATTTAGGACTGCAACTGACCAGTCTCATGTTGGCATATGTGAATTCTGTGTGGACTGCCTCGATATAGCCTAAAGTCACAAGTTTTATAAGCAAAGAGACCGATCAGTTGCAGTCTTAAATAAAAATGGGAAGATACAAGTAAACAACACCAAGTGAATATTTTCAGTATATTGTCTAGCTGAAGTAGGTAGGTTGCTGAAATAAAATTTTTATTCAGATACTGCAAACCAATTCAAAATACAACAAATAGACTTTACGGTTTTCTCGAAAAATACCAAACTATTTTTAGCCATTTCTCACAAATATTTATTTACCACCTGAACCTACAGCCGGAACTATTCAATCCAGTTCAATATGATCAAAAACAAGCAAGATATCTTCATATAAAAGAAGACCGACCATATGAATTGTAAGTAGGTTGTTACTTCCTGTTTTATACAATGGCCAAACAATCACCACATTTATGGCGTTTGTCCTACCTCAACTGTACATAATCTACTTTACGTAGATGGCCACCCTTAATATTGGGCTGCGAGAGCTGAAAATGATGTCTAAGGTAGTAATAAAAGCTATGCAAGTAAATTCTCGGGCTCAGACTGTGTACATGATTATTACACACATCATCAACGAAAAAGTTAATCAGAGAATTCGAAATACGGATAAGCTTATTTGCTTCTCCATCCTTAAGAATAAAAGCGGCCCAATGAAAGCGTAAAAGGTTCTTATAAACACAGTCAACTGAATAGATAAGAAAATTACAAACTGAATGATAAGTAATACCATGAATTGAGTAATAGCGAAAAAAATAAATCACTTATAAATATAACAAAATGTTTAAATTACTTATGCCTGTTAACCCTGATGGAGGAGTGTAGGCCGCTCACCAACATTCTCCATCCAACCCTGTCCTCAACAATCTCTTCCATTTGCTATTCATTCTTTTCACGTCTACTTCCAGTTATCGACACCGTGTGTTCTTCTGTCTTCCACTTTTATGTTTCCCTTCAGAATTCCAAGTTAGCGTTTGTCATATGATGTAATTTGAGGATTTCTCCAATACATGTTCAAACAACTTCCATCGTTCTTTCTTAATTTCCTCTTCAGCTGGTATATTGTCAGGTCATATTGCTTTCCCACTCTTGATTTGTCTGATGGTCATCTTGATTTTTTCGACTGTTGATGAAGTGATATCTACAGAAAGGTCTGTAGGTGTTGCTTCGACATCCGGTAGATCCAATACAAGTAGCCCATTTAATAATTCTTCAAGGTGTTACACCCATCTGTTCCTCTGTCTTTCGATCTCAGTTATTAACTTGCCTTCATTTTCCATGACAGGTCTCTCTAGTTGACTATACTTTCCCTGCTAGACTCATTTATATTTTACAATTGTCCGATATTTCCATTTGTCGCAGCTTTTTCTGCTGTCGTTGCTAGTTCGTCCACGTATTTCCGCTTGCCGGCTCAAATGCCCTTTTTCACTAGCTTGTTTACTTCTGTGTATTCCATTTGTGCCTTGACCTTCTCTGTTTTTGTTCATCTGTTGTTAATTTCTGTCTTCTTGTTCTTCCTTTATTGAATCCTGTCCATGGTTTCGATAGAGATCCATTCCTTATGATGATGCATACATAAACATAAACACCCTTGATCATGAGAAAGCATTTGTCGGTGTGAATAGGAGAACATTATGGAAACTTCTTCAACACTATGATATACCTGAGAAGATCGTCAACATCATCCAGAATTGATACGATGGGCTACAATGTAATGTTGTACATGGAGGACAGCTGACAGACGTATCCCAAGTGGGGACCGGAGTCAGACAAGACTGCCTTCTCTCACCCTTCCTCTCTCTTCTGATGGTTGATTCGATTATAAAGGGCTCGACATCTGAGGGGAAGCACGGAATGCAACGAACAGCTCGGAATCAATTAGACGATTTGGACTTCGCAGATGACTTGGTCCTCCTATCCCATGCACATCAACGAATGCAGATGAAGACAACTAGTGTATCAGCAGCCTTTGCATCAGTAGTCTAAAATATAACAAAAGAAAAAGCACGATCCTTAAGTTCAGCACAGAGAACATCAACCCAGTCACACTTGATAAAGAAGCTCGGAAAGAGGTGGAAACTTTCACGTACCCGAGAAGCGTCATCGAGGAACAAGAAGGATCTGATGCAGATGTAAGGGCGAAGATTGGCAAAACAAGGACAGCATTCCTACAACTGAACAACTGGTCTAGCTTCAATTGACTCATGATTTCAACCAGTAAAATTTCTAAAAATCTCCACAAAACCCATTCTGATAATAATTATTGCTTCAAAAGCTAACATATGATCCCATAAGCCACCAAGTACTAATCGCTACTAACTTGTACATGGTATTTTATAGTGTTGATAGGTTTATTGAAAATCTTTCGGAATAGTAATTAAGCACTTTGCGTCAACCAATGTGATCATATCATCTGCAAAGGTATTAATGTTGAACGTTTATTACTTGTTAATAAAATTAAGGGCCACTGATGATCAAAAAGTTTGTTTGAATGTTCATTTTCTTAAAAATGGTGAAACTATTAACGTGGAAACTAACCTCTAAATAATTTTAAATAAAGTCAATTGCCAGCTTTTTTGATGACTTTTCTTTTCCTTAAGGCAAACAAAATATAAAGTTCAGGTTATATAATACGTTATAGATTACATGCGTTATTATGTGTAGTGTTTTCTGGATAACCGAAGGTAAAAATCTAGGATAAATCAATAATCCGATGGCCCGTAGTTTCCTAAAAGTTTTCTGTTTTCTTGTGAAGAAATTATCCTTAAGGAATAAATAATATTACTCTAGAAATGGAGAATATTATTCGTAATCAGGACTTTATAACGTTGATAAATGCATGTAATTCATATATTTGTGGTGAAGTGATACCACATGAGACACATACTCTCACCTAACATCAAAAATATAAAGTACTCTCCAATATTTAATATACTAGATGAGTAGTCATGCTGTAACATAATAAAAAAATCGACCATCATTCAGAACTTTACAATACGACATATGTCGTTACAAGAAACTAATAAGAAAGACTCATTTGTTATACTACGACAACATAAAGCCCGGAAAACTTTAGTTTTCACCATCCACACATTTAAATGACCTTTTCTTAAATATTTTGTTTCTAGCAATTTAAATTTGCCAGGATATAGTGGTTATCAAAAGAAGGAAATGAGAAGCCATGATTTAGCATCATTAGTATCAGTCTGTTGAAAAAAATATTTATCAAGAAATTTTGTTTAAATAAGTACAAATGTAAAAAACTCATTATTACAGAAGATAAATGATGTAATAATTTAAACAACTTGGTGATTTTATTTAACTACTATGCAACCTTCTATATAGAAACCTCTAACCTTTGTATTTACTATAAAAAGCGCTTTTCAGAATAATAGGAAACTACTCAACAATATCATCTTATTAAATATGGTTCAAAAATAGTGCTAACATTAGAAAGATATTCTTTGCTTACCAATAAAATGTTTTTAGCTTTTTCTTAACATGTAAGCTTTTATTATGTAAACCTAGAAAATAGTTTGTTATGATTAGTTTTGATTTATATTGAAAAAGTTTTCTTAGTTCTTAAAATACATCATGAGTAAAGTTTATTAACACGGGTGTAACAGCAACATTTTTGCATTTTTCGTTATATTATTAACTTTGTCTACCACATGATCGTGAAACTTTAAGCTATGACTTTCAATGATAGTGACGTGTGGACAAGGTAGACTAGAATTTTTCACGAGAAATGTCTCACCCATCACTGTTCCTAAGTGCCTGTCATATGAAGGTGGGATATATGAGATGGTGATAGTTATCAAGCGGCAGAGAACTCTGTTTTTAGGGTTAGGACTAACTGTTCAATATTTCAAAGCAAACTTTTAGAAGGAAAGTGATGTTAGGGGATTGTACAGGCGATACGTGCAACTAATTGGTATGTCCATACGACTTTTTTCGATGACGAAAACTCTTGAGACCAGTTACATCTACGAAATGATAAAGGTATATTTAGGTACATGTAGGACTTAATCTGTCCTACAGTTGTTCTACTAGAACTGTAAACGCTATACTGGCGACCCTATAATCAATGTGAAAGCTATAGTCAGAACAAGTATAATTCAGCTTTAAACTTTATCTGTTTCTAAAAGTAAAAATAACGGCAGCCTGCTTAAATATCTGGGCTACCTGTTTCTGCCATCTGATTATTTCAACAAGTTATCTGAGTTTTTCGTTTGTTTTAACTTATAATTATGTCCATTAATCGCATAACCTATTCAGGCGCTTTTATGAAAAGCCTACGACCTTTCGCTGCACAGGTTACAAAAAAGTACCATAAAAGACATCGTGGTGGTTGGCAATATGCGTTAAAGAGAATGAATATTAATCGTATGTCGATTCCCGAGCTGCTAAATTCTAACTGTCGATCACTAATCAACAAAGTGGACTATCTGCAATTCCTACTAAGTCAAAATATGTATCGTAATTGTGGTGTCATCACAATTCAAGAATCTTGGTTAAATGATTTACAGGATGACTGCTTAGTATCACTACGTGATTTCATAATTTATCGTCAGGATCGATCAAACAATAAAAAGAGGTGTGGTGGCGGTGTAGCTACGTTTGTAAACATAAACTGGTGTCGATCTTTGTTTGTGTGTTTTAAGTTTTCAAATGACTTTATCGACTGTCTAACTCTAAGATGTCGTCCAAAACATCTGAATAAATACAAATATGTTTATGTTACCAATATCTACGTGACTCCAGATTGCACGTCATCTGCACTATCTGTTTTCTCTGATGAATTCACTGAGTTCGCTGTTACTGCCTTCAGTGATTCACTTTCAGTTGTATGTGGTGATTTCAATTCATGTGACTGTAGCTTCCTTACGTCACTAGGTCACCAAAACGTAGTAGATTTTCCTACCGTTTGGATGCTCATTTAGACTTCGTTTTCATTAATGATGTGGGTATATATGCGACTCGTAAACGTGCCTCATTGTCTAGCTCGGATCACTGTATAATTCGTGTTCTACCTAAAGTATATGGAAAGCATGGGAAGAGTACACTCTTACATCAAACCAAGAAAGTCAAATATAGGAATTACTCAGAAGAAAATATCCGAAATCTGAAAAACATGTTTCATACGACTAACTGGGAATTATTTACAGATGACTCACTGGAAAACACTACTGATGTTATCACTTGTTACCTTAAATTCTGTTCTGATATTTGTTGTCCCACTGAAACCATTTTTGTAAGTTTTGATCGACTTACATCTACACAACTAAAACGACTACGGAGGATGAAAGAAAGAATGTACAAGGAGAAGAACTCAAATGAAGTTCGTAAGCTAAATGGTCTGATAAACCTAGAGATTAGACGTCTCAACTGTATGTTTACTCAAAAACTCTTGTCTTGCAAAAACTCTTCAAGTATGTGGAAACTCTTTAAAGAACTTACAGGTGACAGACAGTTTAGAAGCGATAACCAGCTGAATGTTTGTGACTTAAATAAGTCTTTTGTACGTCAGTCATCTGATGTGATGCTCCCTCTATCCACGGGTTTAAATAATAGCTGTGTTCCTACTTTCACTGAGACTGATGTACGAAGATGTCTACAGTCGCTTAATTCATCTCAATGTTTGGGACCTGATGGTATCCCAAACATCCTTTTTAAAAAGTGTGCTGACGTCCTATGTTATCCGTTCACAGCTATCTTTAACAGATCCTTCTCATCTAATCTCATACCGAAAATGTGGAGAAAGATGAAGATAATTCCTGGTGATAAGAATGTAAAATTTAGACCTATTGCAATAACTTCACCCTTCCTCAAAACCATGGAAAAATTATTAATACTTTCACTTCAGCCTGCGATAAAAGAGCATATTGATCCATATCAGTTGGCTTACAGACGCAAAAGAAGAACTTTAGATGATGTTGCTGTTCTGTATCACAACATAGTTTTCAACTTTGAAAAGGGTCAGAATTATGTTCGATGTGCTTTTCTGGATTATACTTCAGCTTTTGATTCTATACCAGGACAACGTTTACTTAACAAGTTAATCAGCGTCAACACTGACAACTGGATAACCAGCTGGCCATGTTTCTACCTCTCTGGAAGGGAACAGTACACTGTGTTTGGAGGAAAGTGTTCAGAGTCTCTACTGTATCATGAAGGTGTACCACAAGGAGCTGATCTTTCACTGCTTCTTTTCTCTTTTTTTCTGCATGACCTGCCATCTTACACAGAAAACACTTTTGTGAAATATGCGGATGATCTCACTGTATGTATGCCTATCTCTTCCTCTTTACATCCCATAGAAATGAATGAGTTTTTGTCTTGTATTGATTGCTGGTCTGTTGGTAATGGTCTCATACTTTATCCGTCGAAATGTCAGGCTGATAACTTTAGTATGAGACATGAACGGAACCTAAACACCATTTTGAGATCCCATAATGCTTGTACTGTAGGGCCAGTGAAATGTCACTGAGCCCTAGCCAAATCATCCGGCAGTTGGATCACTGAATGTCGAACACATCATCGCTCACTGCCAAGGTCATGTAAAACCAGCGCGCATTAGTTAATCGTAAGCCATGTAGCACGTACTATTAGCGTTTATCTGCAAGCAGGAGCGATCTGAAACACAACACAACAGTCAGGACCGACAGATGCCACTCAAGTGAGAACACGGCGTACGAGCACAACAGAGATATATTTTAAAATTGAATTACGCGGTTTTAATACAAAAAAGGGGAAGTCTATTACAAAACGGTTTTACTCATTATCCCGCAGGTTTAACTTGCGCAAGGCTTAATCTTCTTCTTCTAGTACGTTCACTTTCTGTTGCCCTGAAACAAGGAAAACAAACTTGCATTAGTAAAGTCACACGTAATGGTTTTTGATACTGCTACATTGCGCCCTCTCTTCATGAGGCACTGTCCTCAGTGCCTGGTGCTGGACATGGGTATGCTACCCCTCCCTCTAGTGTCACGTCATAATGGCTGACGGCAGTCGAGGGGTTGACGAACGGAGTATCTAAGTGCACCGTTGTTCTGTCGGGATTCAATTGATTGTAGTGTGCCGTTGTAACATCGTCTTGGGGTCGTTGAAGGTTACGTAAGACGAATGTAGTGGGGGGCCGCGTAAACACAACTTTATAAGGTCCTTGCCAAGTGTGATGGAACTTGCTGCACGTCCCCGGTGGAGCCAAAGGGCGGTGCAGCCACACACGATCTCCGGGTTTATACACAGGGCCGTTCGCCTTGTGATCGTACACATCCTTTTGGTGCCTGCTGGCATTTTGTAAGTTGATCTTCACTAAGCTATAGGCGTCGGCTAGGCGGTTGCGAAGGTTACGGATGTATACTACATGATCTTGGGCTTCGCACGGTAACAACGGTATTTGCAGCTCAACGGGTAGGCGCAATTCATGCCCAAAAAGTAGGGTCGCCAGTGAAAATCCTGTAGATCCGTGCACTGATGAGCGGTAAGCTAACAGACATTGTGGTATCACGTCATCCCAACATTCCGTCGACGACTTATTGATAAACGATTGAAGGAGAGCTTTGATAGTCCTGTTGGTTCTTTCCACTAAGCCGTTACCTTCTGGATGATATGCGGTAGTGTGTGTTTTTCGGATTCCCAATAATCGACATACCTGGGCGACGAGATGACTTTCAAAAGCTGAACCTTGGTCAGAATGGAGTGAGAGGGGAGCGCCGTACCGGGATACCCAATGATCAATGAAAGCCCGATTGACTGTGAGGGCATCTTGTTGTGGTATAGGAACAGCTTCACACCATTTGCTGAAATAGTCTACCATAACTAGGATATAACGGTTTCCGTTCCTTGATGTTGTGAGTGGCCCCATAATATCGATGCCAACTCGCTGATGCGGACCTTCTGTCGTCATTGGAACTAAGGGTGCACGAGGTATTTGTCGGGGTGACTTAATAGCATAGCACGTGTCACAATTTTTGCAGAATTCGGCAACGTCTTCATGGATGGATGGCCACCAAAACCTCTGGCAGATAGCATGTTCAGTCTTCCGTTTTCCTGAGTGCCCCAGTTCTCGGTGTACCTGCTCCATAATATTCTGAACTTGTACACGTGGTACTATCAATAGTGGCTGTTTTGATTCGCTGACTATAAATAACGTGTCTTCATACAATCTTAGACTGCTCCACTTGGCACACAGACGGCGCGTCGCCAAG